GGGAAAGAGTGGTGCGGGATGAGAGCATTTGAGGCGAGTGTTTTAGCAGCAGAAAGAGTTACCGTTACGGGAGAGGAAGCCAAAACCATCATTTCAATTTTGTTTTCAACGGAATTAAGGACTTTGCGATGGGTTCAGAATCTTTGTGCTGGCTTAGCTTCTCAATCTTCTTCTTCTTAGTGTAACGGTCATTGTTTATGAGGTGTAGTTTTTTTTTTTAATGAGTAATAATAGTAGATAAAATATCACATTGTATTTTTTTTTTTTTTTTATAAAAATAGGAAAGTTCAGAAAGATTAAACTTAAGTCCTCGTGCTTTTAACTGGCTCAACCCCTCCTCACCCAACTACTAGAACTAACTCATTAAACTTAAATTTGGCCGGCAAAAAACATTAATTGCTTGAATTAAAAAAATATAATTATATTTTTAGTTTCTTAATTTTGAGATAATTAATTTTTTATCCTTTAAATTTAAAAAATATATTTTTAGTTCTCAAAATATAAAAAAAAGTTTATTCATTAATCTTTCAATTTTTTTTTTGGAATTATATGTTCAAAAAGATAAATTTTAGAAAATATTATCTTTTTGAACATGTAATTCCAAAAAAAATATTATTTTAGACTCTCTCATTGTAGTTATTGGATTATTAATTGTGGATGAAAAATTAAATTCTTTAATAAAGATTAATTAATGATAAAGTTGATAAATATATTGTATTAACAATATGATAATAAATAAATAAAGTTACTAGTGTAATGCACATTGACTTTTGACTGTTTTTCTTAAACAAAACTAAAGTGAAGAGGTTTCTAAGTTTTAATGTGAAAATCTTCATTTCATAAAACTTGGAAACTAAGGGAAAAGTTTACCATAATTAAATAACTCTCTTTCGTTCCTTTCTCGTCCTAAATTTGAAACATGTACTTAATTTTGCGACTTGAATTACATCCTTATGGGTGCTGCTGCTAGATTAGAGAGGTTCCATAACCTACATCAACTGAAGAAACTTTAGGGCTCCTCACTTTGTACAAGAATCAATATATTGGTTTTGAGTAAATTGTTTGCACTTTACACCGTAGACTTTCAATGTGGCTCCTAACTTCAAAAATCTAAGATGACCCTTCATAAAATCCATATCCATTATAATTGGGCTATAAGAAAAAAGCACCAAATACTAGGCTCATAAACAAGCTGAAACAAAAAGAAGAAAAAGAATTGTGTAAAGTTCCGTATGCTTACCAATAATTTAAATTAGCCCATTAACATGAAATAATGAATAATGTAGTATGTTATAGCAAAAACGAAATCTATATTTATAACATACTTGTATAATTTCAAGTGTCCCTGAGCATCTAAAGTGAAGTCATTTTAATTTAATCAGTGGTCCTCAGTTTAAGTTATAAGTATGTAACTGTATTAAATATTTGGAACAAGAATTTTATTTTACTGTTTTATATGATTCTATCTGATTCGAATATGATTGATTTTAGTGATATTATAGACAATAATACAAAAATACAATACAGAGTGGTGAATGAGCACTGTAAATCAAAATTAAACGTTCATTACAATAATGATGTCAAATTGAAAGCCTTGGCCCAATTAATTAAAAATTTCTCAATGGGCCTCCATCTGAATGACTCAACTTCACAATATTTTTTTCACATCACAAAAGAAAAAAAAAACACACACATCACACTTGACATTTTCCTTTCTGGGCCCGCATTAACGCAACATGATCAGACACAAATCGAAAAGTAATGAAGCAATGTGCATCAAAAGCATTTACTTTAGACATCTAATTTTGCATTAACGAAAATTGGAACGTAATCTTATAATTGTCACTTCCGACCAAAAAGAAACAGGAAAGGGAATGTTGCAGTTGAACATGACAGAATGTGATTCTCGCTTTCTTTTCCTTTACACATATTCTATTAACCAACACTATTAGCACTGTATCACAATGAATATTATTAAACCAAACACTCATTTATTTAGAAATCCAATGAAGATAAGTACTACTACCTTTTATTCAAGTTTCCAAAGTTAATTACAAACCCGAGGTTATGTAATGTGAACAGTGTGCTGCAATTCACAAATTTAAAACCCAGCCAACACACATAACTTTTGCCCAACCTGTACTTTATAATATCTCATATTAATTAAAACCATGCATTTTTTTTCTCCCTTTTAAATACTTCTTTTTCTTCTTTTAGGTCTACGATTGCAAAGTGGGGATTGGTGCCCGCATTCCTAAGATTAATTGAATATGGCCATTCGGGGTTAACTCAAAACTCAAAAGATTTATAAAGTTTATTTAAATTTATGAAAATGGCTTTTCATCATTTAATATATACATTTTTAGTTATTTAAAGCAACAAAGAAGTTAACCTATTAATTTATTTTCCTAAAACTAATTAAACTTTCATTTGATAGGAATTTATTGAATAAATATCTATTAAGATGTTTGCTAAAGGATGCATGCCTTAATTTCATGGGTCAAACAATACTTAATTATAACAAAGGCTTATTAGGTAGATGTATGAACTTGTAAAGTATGAAAACATATGTGTTCAATGCTCGAGGTTAGTTTTGTTTAATGTAAGTTTAATTAGTTTTTCCTTTTCTCATTAGTGGGGGAAAGACCGAAAAGAGCTTGGTTTCTTCTGTGATATTGATGTGAAAGCATCTACATAGTTTGTAATTAATAGCCATCACGACACATGGCTGCAAATATAGGCCGTCAATGTGATTTGATGCTTTCATGTTCCATTTACCTAATCATAATATTGTAGTAATCAGCAAGAGCACGAGAAAGTGTGTAGAGAATTTCACTCCATCTTTACTCCTTTAAGAAAGGACAATAAACGCCATGATTAATTAATGACCTAAAGAAGCAATTAATATCAAAGTGATGATCCTTATCCACCTCAACATTCACTAAATGTAAATTAAATTAATCTTACCTATATATTCATTTTCGTCGTACTCCCTTAACTCTCTGCTCATTCACTTCACACTTTATTCCTTCATATTTTTGGAACACGCTTTCGGCTAAACAGCCTCTCCCTCTTTCTTCTGTATATTCGATCTTTTCTTCTTCTTTTTTTTTTTCATTGCTATACTATACATGCAATGCAAGCACCACAAAGTAAAACTTTGTACCATTTCATCATTTCCTTTCTCCCAACAATATCGTCATATTTAACTTTACTAACACTTTAAACTTGCCCTATACTTTGCTGCATCCAAACCAAATCTTATATATAACTTTTTTTTATAGTCTTTTTTTATAATGTGAATGAGGAATAGTATAGGGTCTTGTGAATGTGAAATAAGCAAATGAGTTTTCAGACATGTCGTGCTATGTTAGATACTTTGACATAAAGATTGCTGGGTGCATCTTTTAATGACTAAGACAAGAGAGAAGGTTTTTATTTTATTTTGGTGTATAAAACATCTATAGTGTAAGTAATTGAATGATCAAAATTAATGTTGAAGGTG